TTTACCGAATTCTCTAGACCCACCCTTCTTAAGCAGTTTCATAGCTGCATTTACATCATTTGAGATAAGGGGTAGGATAAACGGGACCTTTCTTTCGCTAGAGTTGTCGTTTGGAAGCCTAGGATTTTTCCTACACCTGTTATGAGCTACAGTTTCGTAGCTATTATTAATAGCTATCTGCCGTGCCAAGTTCCGGGACTCCTCTCTCTGTTCTTTTCCCGTGCACACGTTTGTTGCTTTACGAAACATGTTTCTTACAACTGCTCTTTTCATGTGAGAGGTATGAGAGGAAAGGTAATAAACCAAGAATTTTTTACCACTTGGCTTTCGATACCACTTCATAATGTAGCCACTTTCTGACAGGTTAATTTCGACGTCCAGGAATGGAAGCCAATTGTCTTTCGGTTTCTCTCGGCTGAACTTGATAAACTCTAACTGTTCGTTCAACAACTCGAAGCATTTGTCCGTTTCCTCTTGTATTGAGCGAAAGGTAAAAACAATCATCTATATATCTACAGTAGAGTAACGGCCCTAGATCAATCACCGCTGCTTCCAGCTTAGACATAAACGCAATGGCAAAACTTGCTGCCAGTCGTTGTCCCATTGCCAATCCTCTTATTTGAGCGTAGTACTTTCCGAACTATCTGAAGATTAAGCAGGTCAAGCATTTTTTTAAGAGTGAGATCAACTGCTCTATCTTGAAGCTATATATATTTATTTCTCCGTGTTGCATAAAGAGTTCGAATATTGCTTGCATTACGGAGTCATTCGACACATTTGTATAAAGGGCGGTAACGTGGAAGAACTCCACCACGTACGCGCTGCTGGGCTGCGCAGTACGCAAACGATCCAGAAACATCTGCCTATTCTTAAGATGGGCTGGAATGTGTTTCAACAACTAGGTAAATATTAGGGTTAAAAACCACCTTATCCTGTCCGTTGGCCCATCTACACAGCTAATGATAGGTCTAACCTTAAACAATGATGGATCGGTAGACCCAAGATCACCCAGCCCTTTCCATTTTGACCTATTCGTAGTTCGATTTTCGGTATTTTCTTTTAAGCTTCTTCTCAGATGATGGGTGATAAAGTAAAGCATCTTCAAGATGCTTGTTCGTTATCTCAACTTCTGACTGATGGGGAATTATAACAAACGCTCCACGCTTATCACTAACGGATAGCCTTATGTTTTTCGACCTTATCAGCTCTCGTAGCTCTCCCATACCACGTTTTTGCACTTCAGTGAGGTTGGAGCTGTATCTATTGCGCGGTAGTGATTGAGGACTTTGAAAGTTTCATTCATAAACATGTTTAATGTGATTGAGATCTTAGTTTAGCGTTTTCTCTGTTTGGTTGTGGAGGTGTTTGGCCGGATTGATTGCTATCAGCTTGTCCTTTCCAGGCTCTGAGGAAGACGAAATCAGCCGAAACATCGGCTTGTTCTTGAGTAAAGAATAAAATAACACCTCGCGTTTGCTTAACGAGAATTTAAAGAATTATTTGATCAATGCCGAGGTTAATAGAAAGTCAGTCGCGGAAATTATAAATCATTGTATTGATAGGCTAACACGAATTTGTTGAAAAAACCTATTTTGACAAATCGTTCAGCACCATCGTCCTCCTCTGAGTGGCAGTGATTCGTCTCGAGTCTCAGCATCAAATCGAGCATAGTCGAGCGGAATAAAGAACCGCGTCGTGCGGTCTCGATTCGAATCACTGCGGCTCAAAGAGAACACTGATGTTGCGCAGTGGTTAGAGTTACGCTTTAATAAACATTTTGTCGTTGGCTCGGCTTGAAGCCCTAGGCTCACAATGTCTACCATCTCTCCGGAGTCTGCAAATTGATGCCAAACTTGTCTGGAGAATATAGCAGCACTGAATTGATACAGTGCCATGCCATCATAAGTTTATATGTCATTATCTCTGTATTAACTAGTTATGCACTCATTCAACTCTGCGATGCTTGATGAGCGGAATGCATGGAGTATTCCTCAGAAATTAATCAAAGCCAAACGCTTTATTCGCGAGCTATCGTTTTTGTCCTCGTGTTACCTCAAAAGGGCAACTATACTAGATATTGACTATTAATGTTAAGATTAAATGGAAGTCACTTTTCAAGAGTCAATTATCAGGCTTTATCCTGCTTATTTTAATCACTGAATTAATTTCCACTTGCGATCAAGTAAAGCCGTTCATGAAGAGTGTAGAAAGAACACCTCGATTATGTAAGATATTTGAAAGTAGCATCATATCCCCTCCAGCGATAGTAACGTAACTTCCTGTTTATTAAAAGTGAAGCCTTAACAGGGAAAAAATCGACTCGCACTTTCAGATGTTTACTGTAGCGCATATGAATAAGAACACTGCTGCCTAGTAGTGCAAGTAATTTCTCGTTTCAATTAAATATTATCGAACGAAAGTTGGTCACGCATGAGCGATTTTAATCACAAAAGATATTTATGACCGCCATAAATACGTTGAGAACCGCCGAATATAAACTATTTACTTGAGTCACATGACGGTTTTGTAGTTCATGATGAGTGTGTGAATGAACAGAACTCAAACTACTTTTTCCTTCTCAGAATTTATCTTCGCCTACGGTTTCTGCTGTGACAGAATGTAACGGGACGTGCTGCACTTCAGAAGCATCCAGGTGTTTGAGCACCAAACACAAAACGAACAGTCGAGCGAGCAGAGAAAAGGCAGGAGCAAGAATTTTTTGATAGGAAAAAGCAGAAAGGTGCTACGAGACTGATAAAACTATATACGACGAAATTTAGTCGCTCGCAGTGTTTGAGGTTAAGTACTAGTCCGGTAGATTCTCGCTGAAATCCTGAGATAGCCGCGCTCAGGCGTTCCCACGCAAATTAAAGAGTGTCGGCTAATGTATGAGGTACACATTGTGAAACCAATAAGCAGCAAGACCTTCATGACAATCGCAAGTAGACACAGGCAAAGGCTGCTTATCATCGTGTATCATTTGGTTCAAAGGAGCAGGTCAGTGTCTAGCAATCTTATCCGCAACACGACATCACGGGCTCCAATTTCGAGCTTTTTGGCGCTCTTCAGCTGGTGCAGCGAGCATAATTTTTTATCAACCTCGTGTACGCTTATCAATTGAAAAATACTGCAATTTCAATTTTTCGACACTCGCTCACAGATCGTCGAATGCCCAGCGGGGACACTTATGAAGTACAGCCAGGAGGGCGGAACATCTCAACTCAAACAACAATGAATATTCATTCAACTGGTCGCTGACTATCAAATTTTTTAAACAGTTAGCCACTATAAAAATGTTGTTCATCGGTTCCAGTTACAACAATTCTGAATGGAAATGACGAATGCCTTGTGTAAATCCGCTAGAGGTTCCATCGCGAATCGGTTTCCATCACATAGGAACAGCTCGTAGCAAAACGGCGTCTAATGTACGTTACATTAAGAAACCGATGAACAAACCAGTTATTACCTGATTACAGTAGGAAAGTTTGCGTGAACGTCTATGAGGTAGAATACTGCTGAGTTGGAACAACGTGGAATAAATAACTAAAAGTTACACTAGTACAAGACCCATCTTTGCTTCTACTGTGTGGATCCCAGCACATCTTATGCTCGAATCGTTTCTTAGCATATAATCATGAGCAAGGGACTTCTATGTTTTCGCGCATAGGTTCCACTGCTGCTTGCGGAGTGTCGTCTTCCTTATGAACGTCGCTGAACTTCGGTAGAGTCGATCCTCTTGGGAGTGCTCAGATAGCCGCACTAAAGCGTTCCCAGTTGCGTTGGATAGCTTGAACTTTTTCCAGAAAGGTCTCCTACCAATTTCCCAACAACGGAGTGATGGGAAACTTAATCGACTCAAGACGTGGTCGAATCAGAACCGCGCTCGTGGTAATTGGCATCACTTCCACTGCACTACCTAGTCTCTATTCACTAGCATGGTAGCAATGAAGAAATGTGCTTGTAACTATCGTAATACCACTTTTTTAAAAGGTTTCAGGAATTTTACAATATGCACCACACTTCTTTTCAAACTGTTAAAAACTAGTGGTATACTTCTTAATCCGTAGACCAGAATTTTGCTCAAGCTGCTACTCCAGTATAGCAGTATAGCTACTTTTGGAATCGATTTGCTACAATTTATAGCCAAGGAGGTTGCCGTTTTTGATTTAGCTTTCTTCTTAAGAAACCCACTCCTTCTTTAATTACGTAACGACTTCAAAAGAATTATAGAAGTTCATCGAATTAACGAGCGAAAATTTTCCTCTTCAATGAGTATGGTAAGTAAAAGGATAAAAAAGATAAAGCTCTCGGCGTTGATAAAACTCTGAGGGATGCGCCATGCATTCGACTTCATTAAGTACCGTTGGAGGTGATTGAATACATATTTGGCTTATACAATAACGCGCAGTGGCCCACCGATGTATTGAGCAAATGCTACTATCCTCCCAGACAAGTCTGGTACCAATTTGCCGGACCCAGAAGAATGGAAGGATTGATGGACCATGGGCGCGGGGATCGAATCCACGTGTATGTCGCACTGGCGCCTCCAATCAGTGGAGAAGTGAAGTTTGGTAAATAAAGAAAAAAAAATGTTTCGATGTGCCAACGTGCCAGGAGTGGATAGCGCTTATTATTTGCGTAAAGGTCATTTTTGAGAACAGAAATGTTTTCGAAATAACGAATTGATGGGTTTTATTTTAAACTTTCAAGTTTAACAATACAAACGCATGGTAGCAAGTTTTAGTCCCTGTTTTCAAGCTTCGATTAAATCAAAAGAAGACCAAGCCCTGAGGTACCGGAGAGAGGGATGAGAATTCTGAGCGAAAGAGTTCCAATGATTACATATTTCGCAAAATGCGTTCAAGTGGTCAATTGTTTTTAAACAAAAAATTACAACTAAAGCTATGTTCGATAAACCTTCACCCATTTTCAGAAACTGCTTTTCAAGTCATCGCCACCAATTTTACCTCTGCAGAGCCTTGTTATTGCGTTTCTCAAATCTAAATACTCTTAAGTAAAAAAGAAAGAAACCAACCTGTATACTCAGGAAAGGCTGTTTTAATAGATAAGTGCTTAATTTTTTCTATAAATAGATCCCTTTTGTTTAAAAACAGAATTATAGATGTGTTGATGAACCATCGGCTATTGCAGATTGATTCGAACAGACGCTGAGATTCGAGCATTCGATTCTAAAAACGTGTGATTTGTATTTTCAGTGGTGAGTTCCAAGAAAATTGCCTTCAGCTCTTTGGCAGGTCGAGTTACTTCATTTGGTTAGTTCCCTTTGAACTCGCTGTGCACATGATATCAGCTTTCAATGACGGAAGAATTTCTAGCAAACGTTGGATGTGGACTTTATAACTCAACGATAATGGCGTAATCTAATCAGTTACAATGTTTAACGTTTTGTTTTCTGCCTTCTATAATTTTCATGGCAGGTTACTAATCGAAATACAACCACAACGTTGCTGAGATATTTGCAAAACTCTGGACCGCATGTGTCTATGGTGGGGAACGAACGCGCTATTATCCTTTCCGGGGAGTAGCGCGTTCACCACCACACCATGCGGGTCCTTTGTTTCGCACGTCTCTCAGCTATTTCTATCGATCTTTTTGCCACAGCAATCACCCGTCGGTGGGGTTGATCTGGGGAGCGCAAATCGGCATAGAACCCAGTTAAGCTATGGCTGTAGCTAATCAGTTACATTTATCTATTCGTTAACTATGTAATTGAAAAGTAGATCCAGCTTTACTTCTGTCTCTTCCAGGAACCACTTTTCGTACTCCATTTGTTCCTCATTCCTGTTAAGTCATACGGCCGAATGAGCACAGTTACAACGCCAAATTTTGTAATCAGAAAAGCTTGCATGAACAACGAGACCACTATATAAACAGATCAGGTAAAGAAGGACACGTTCAAGCGCTGTCGCAGATATGAGTAGGTGTTATTGTTGGAGGAGAAAGTCTGCTTACTGTGGTTTCATCCTCGAACAGCACTTCGTCGTACTCACTGAGTGCCGCGAGAAAAATAATAGCGTTTACATCCTCGAAGCAATGAATCCATTTTTTTCGTTCAGATCGCTGACCACCGACGTCGAACACCCTGAAACCTAACAGATGATACTGGTGCAAATTGACTATTATATTAAAGGAATGAACGGAATCCATGAGATGTTTTATAGGGAAAAAATTTCAGCGTAGAATGTTTTGTTTCATGGTTATTAGACTCTATTGAAAAGGAGAAACTATTTCCAACATACCTGAAGTGCACTTTCTTTATAACGAAAGATATTTCAACAATCCCCGTTGTTTTTATTCTTGTCAGCAATATATCTTGATCTGTCGGCTTGTAATTCACATTTGATATCCTGTCTACGCTATCCAGAAAACTAGAAAATTCACATTTGAGATAAAAAAGCCATGAACTTTGTCTACAACCTTTCTACCAAAAATAGCGCTACTCACAATCGTGTGCTTTCGTGAAGGTGACATTCGATGCGTTTATCCTCGTAAATGTCCTGTACTGCTTTGTCACTCCAGAGCTTCTGAATAAAATCAGTTAAGTTTGAGAATGTTCAATTTATAACTAAACGGAATTCTACAGTCGATTCAAGAGAGATCTTTTTATGACACAAAGGATAAAGCTCTTGGTGTGGATCAATCCCTGAGAGATATCCTTTCATTAAACTTGGTTAGAGGTAATTGAGACATAACTATCCTATCCAATAATTTGCGCTGAAAAGCTACTACTGTACTATTGTTATGCGAGCATTGACCACGTAAGACGAATAAAAACGAATGAAAAATGTATGCTTTATCTACAAACCTTAATAGCGACTGCCAGCTCAGGGGTGAAGGGCTCGGACTCACGACCTTGCTTGATGACGTCCTGAACGATCAAGGCCTCTGCCTGAAAACAGCTAACATCTTTCGGCATGAGGGAACATCAACGATGTTCATGCTTACCTCCCTCTCAGGGTTCGAGTACTTTATTTGGTACTGCTGCATGGCTTTGATGAGCTGATTCATTGCCGTTACCGTATTGTTGTAAACCACCCGTTTTTGTTGTGTTATTTCGTCTTCTGTGAAGCCGCTCGTATGTAGAATTCGCATTTGTTTAAGCACCGTGCTTTTGCCACATTCACCGCCACCTACAATATTACACCATAGGATATTATTACATCTCTGTGCAAAATGTTCAACCCATTCTTCAGCGATAAGTTGTTGCATCTCATATTCCTCGACAGAACGGATTATGTAGTGCCCCGTAGCATACTGATTATTAGGCTTCTAGTATAAAATAACTTAGCATGCCTTAAATGAACGCACCGGGTTGGATCTAAAACAAGGAAGGGGAAAGTTTTCGTTGGCGGCGAATGTCTTGTCAAGATCAGTTTTAAGGTGTTCGAATTGCACGTATTTCCAAGCATTTATACAGTTAAATTGCAGGCATGTAGTTGCCTTCAATTTTAGACGAAGGTTTAAACAAGATTTTGAAAAAGTGAAGTTATCCTTCATGTTTTAGCACAACAGTGAAAAAAATTGCCTTAACATTCTCTATATCACAAAGCTGACCCTATCGCAAGAAGTTATTTCGCTCTATTCAACAGTTAAATCGTCGTAACTTTCACAGATATCCGCAGATATTGTTGCTACATAAGCATTAGATTGGTTGTGTAAAACTTGAACATTCATAGGACGCCGCGTGTAGAGAAGTGGTCGGAGGCGCTCCGCTATACACCTGGGACTGGCGCCGCGCCCTGTCCCCACCAAGCCCTCCATCCCTTCGGGGTCCAGACAATTGGTAGCAGACATGTTTAGGAGGATAGTAACACTGGCTTGATAAATCAGTAGATCACCGTGAGTCATTATATATGCCAGATATGCATTCAATCATCTAACGTTGCTTAATGAAGTGGAACGGGCGACGGATTAAGGGATTGGTCAACGTCGAGAGCTTCACCTTTCTTTATTTAGCTTTAAGCAAAAATTTCCAAGACCAGCAAAAGAACAAATTTTACACTAGTGAGGTTTCGTCACAAGGACCTTTTTCCATAGATGTTAAGATTCTCGTATTTAATTACTGGTCTCATGGAAGACGCTCACGTGTAACTTGGTTTAATCTGTAAATCTTAGAAAATTGAAAATCGACGTGAGAAGATACTGCTCAACTTAGTTTAGACGAAACTAAAGGTACTGCCAACTAAGTGTATCGTAGATGCGATATTTTACCCGGCTCTTACCGTGTCCTATACAGCACGAGTTTTAATCCTCACTTCACCATCAGACTTCAGACGGAAACACTTAGTGTGTTTTCCACTAAAACTTGTTTATTATTGGCCTTGGTGACGTGCTATCTTCCTCAACAGATTTTGAGCGGAGTTTCAAGATTGAGAGCTTAGAACTCTTTATAAGCTTGAAAGAATTTGTTACAGGATGAATTCTTTGTTCTTCATTGCAACTCGATATCAAGAAATACCCAGCAGCAAAGATGAGGCAGCACACTACTACAGACCCACTAAGCTGTGTAGGATATGACGAAAGGAAAATGAAATACTGTGGTGGATCTGGTAAAGGAATGTCATAACGAGTCGTCAGTGTTCTATATTTCGCTCTCAGATCTGTTAACTAAGCTAAAGGTCATGAAGTACTGGTGAATTTAGGAAATCGAGTGTCGAATAGAAATCAAATGCTTAAGAAATATGTTTTTGAATAAGATTCTGAATATGCTTTTGCCAACTACTACAAATAATAGAAATGCATTGACACAACTGAAGTACCATGCTGCCCCAATGAGGGAGTCGCACAACACAGTACGACGGTCTCTGAGATGAATGAATGAGCAGCTCTCGAGAGTTCCGGGTCATTGCTTCAACCACCTTCTTTCAAGCCAACGGCGACTGTTGGCCAAAATTCAAGTCGTTAATGGCCTTTTCCTATGGTTCACTGTTGTGGTCAAACCCATATGTAACGAACGGATAAATAAACCCTAATTCTAATTTTAATTAGAGCTTTTGCACTTGCAGTATGGGCATTTCTATCGTGTCTGTTCCATTTGATAAGGTGATAAAATGCGAGAGCACCCTATTAATTTGTTTGTCAACTCGAGCATTTGGTTTCGGGAAAAAATTCAAACAAACTGATCAATTCGTAAGATAGAAATAACGTGGGTTACCCAAAAGACTCAGCGAAACTCCTGCTTTTCTTTGGAAGATAATAAACTGTAGCTCAACGCACGCGAGCAGAAGTTTATTGGAATGGTGGCATAGGAATAGTTTCTGTACCAACCTAAGAGCAGAAGTTTGACGGTCCTCTCATCGTCAGCAGTTCCTCGTTTTATCTGCTTGTCAATTGCTTTGCTCTTCTCAAAACCTTTTCGATCCTCTTCACTTTGGCACAATCCCATGTAAAGCGTTCTTTTGATAGTGTGCTTACTTAACCAATCACTTCGTTAATCTAAATAAACTAAAAAAAAATTAGACAAAATACATTTAACGCGATTTCAATATCCAACGAAAAGTTGCTAAGGCAGATGAATACACAATAGTATTAAAAATGCATTAAAAATAAGATTAATGAAAATTTATAGCCGCTTTATAAAAGGAAGAAATGATGAACGGCGAGTCCCTAGAGCGAGCAGAACCCACTGGGTTACTCTTGCACACGACAGGGAAAAATGAAAGACTTACTGGCGCCCGCTCGAGTCACTCGACGATCAACGGGTCTACAGGTGATACAGGTGGCAAGTGATAGTGGCTCTAAGAATTGGCAAAGAGTACTCAAATATGGCTAACACATAGTAGAAAAAAGTACTTGTTTATTATTTGTTTCAAAATTATTTCTGCTGTAGAAATAAATAAATTCGCGAAATGAAGTCCATCCGATTGACAAAGACTACAGTAACCGAGGAAAAGTTCGCATAGAAAATGAGTAAAGACTGTTCAACCGGCTTGACTAGCTTCTCTTTTTGTGCCCTACCCCTCAAGTCTAGTAACGGCAGTTTTTTATATTTCTTAAATGACCAATGCGAAAAAGACTTTTCATAGAGCAAAGAATATCTGTAAAAGTGCCCCTATGCACCGGATGAACTCCGAAGTAGTTTTTTCTCAGTTATAATTCTAACATTTGCTTTTAGTTATTAGAATGCACTTTGTTCCGGAAGCAAAGTGCTTTCGAAAAAACTTCCTATCGTTGGCAAGAATGCGACTTTGCTTCATGTCCCGCCCTATCCACAAAACATTAAAAAAAAACTTGGATTAAAGGTTTCCATTCATAATCTTGCAGCTGGATTTTGAACAACTTTTGGTAAAAAAAAGACAAAAACAACACAACGCCTAGAAAACGATGAAAGGAACAGAAACATTTGGACGTCTTACCAGTATAGGACACACAGACATAATTGAGAAAGTTTTAAAGCATAAGTTATCATTCTGGAGCAGGAATCGAAAACTATAGGGAGCAAAATTGTCGAAGCATTCTGGGCGTATGCCAAGAAGCCAGAAATGAACCGCAGGGAGGAACACTTCGTAATCTTACGTAATCCCAGACAATATCTAGGACTGATATTTCAATGTGAGAGAGGCGCAGTACCCATCCATGTGAACTATGAGTGGTAATGTGAAATACTCAGTGAAAAATTCACAGAAAAAACTGAGCATGACAGGAACCTATTTTGTTTTCAATGCAACTAAAAACTTGGTTCAATGATTTCTCAGTTTGGTTATAGAGGTGTTTAGCTGTGTAGATTGCAGTCAACTCGATCTTTCTAGGCTCTGAGGAAGGCGAAATCCGCCGAAACGTCAGCTTGTTCTTTAATAAAGAATAAGAGTAGAGTAAAAGTAAGAGTGAGAGTAGAGTAATAAGCTCGTATATGCTTACCAAGAAAAGGGAGAAAAGAAAAGAAAGAAAAATACCTACAAGTGAAATTTTATGCTATAGAGTGAGCTTGAAACCACAAACATAAAAGTAGAGCGTAATGACTGCCACTGATTGTCGTTATTCATTGGGAAGTTAAGGATGCAGATCATAGAAAGAATGAGTAAAGTAGAAATAGGGAAAGTTCAGTAAAATTATATATTTCAGGTTTGAATGGGCACCTTTGTAAAATAATGCGACCTCTTTAAAAAGTTGAAAAACTTTGTGAAGACGACTCATTAAGCAGCCTTATTTAGAAAACATGAAGTTTTTGAATGAATTCATAGAGGGTAACGCTTGGAAAACTCTTCACAATTAATGAGAGACTGAAGTTTTTTGACGCAGATAGTTACGGTGGTGATGAAACTGAACGCATAAGTGTTGTGTCTTAGCGGATTCATGGGATCTCTTCTAACAATACAGCCGATAGCGTGAGAGACTAGGATATCACATAGTTAAGCGACGCATAGCAACGAATCGCATCAAAAAACTACGGTGTTTTCTCTGTATGACAGGGAGAGTTGATGACGCAATACATCGAAAATAGATAAAACAGTGGCTAATCTTCCTTCTTCATACTAACAGTGTGCTGTACCTTGCTGGACTTTTCTACCCTGGCAAAGTACTACTACTTCGTGAAAATAATAGACCACATCGCAAAACTGTGAGGCTCATCGTTTTCTTGAAGCGAGCGGCTCTGGCAAGTGACAGAGTGGATGGGCACTACTGATGCCGGCTCGAGTTGCTTGATAATTAACGGGACTACATTTGAATGCCATTTAATAAGTGCAGGCGAAAGAAACGTAATACAACCATTCATAAGTGAGAGAGAGAGAGAGGAAGAGAGAGAAACAAGAAAAAGCGGAGATCGTTTCTAAAGAAAGAACAATTTTTAAAACTTACATTATTTTTCTTGAAGCTTTTCACGATGAAAAATTCGTACTGTTCATAAATCAGTGACATCGATAAAAATAAAGATGGCCCGAGGTAGAAGTCAGTGTTCATTTGCTATATGACCCTCCTTCACCACAAATTCGGTAGGACGTCGGCGATAAATAACTCATCGGTGCGACATTTCCACTTGTCCGAGAAATTCCTTTATATAACGAATTACAAAAATTGTTATTAGCGACTAAAAAGTTACCTTTTATTGCCGAGTTTGTATGTAACAAAAGTTGAGCATAGCATTGAATTTTCAACTCGAGCTGCGTATAATGAAGGTGGAGCAGGATTTATGAACGAAAATGCATTGAAGCAATGCATTGGAAATATCAAAGAGTTCTTCAAACAGTTACAAAGATTAAGTGCAACCATAGGAGTGCTAAATATGACCTAAAATCATAACCTCATGTGGGCTTTGCATCTGCGACTACCCTTACCGAAAGCTCACGTGCTTTCATCACTGTTCGAAAAAGTTGCTTTGCCTTTCTCTAAGCCATGGTTTTACTTTTTTTCGGAATTCTGAAATCACCACCTACGAAGTTCTCTAGTAGTTGATATGAGCGATTTTCATTCACGTTTTATTTTCTTGATGCTATCAAAAACATGTAGGCGAGAAGTATTGAGTTACTGGAAACGAAAAGCGGTTTTCCCCTTAAACTCTCCGCAGACCGTGTGGTTCCTAGTGATTAACTTTAAGAATGAGATGTAATAGCGATTTCTCAAGAAAGTACAAAAGAAATTTGTGATTATTTCACAATTTATAGAGCAAACGCAGACGTGGGTTTTTTTCAGCTGCTTCGATATTTTTCGATAATTAGAAGGGTACTACTACATGACGTAAAGAGTTGACGAATTTCTAGAACAGACCTTTTTACCGCTCTATAAACGGATACAATTTTAATGAATTATGCTCTTAAAGTTTTTAAAATGTGGGCTAAAAAATGATGTCGAATGAGTCATTGTTGATATCGCAGCATTTGGTTGAACCAGATCCTGATTGTTTCACTCCTTCCGGTGATTTTTCATGAAGGACACAAAAAAGGAGGCTACTTTGTGGTTTAGAAAATTATGATTTCGTCTTAGTGGAATAGCAAGACTTGCTAGCAAAGATTTTCAGATTCCAATCGTTTGATCGAAATCTATGTAAATCGGTAAGTTTGTCCAAAGCTTAAAAACTGTATTGTTTATATTGTGTAATAGGCAAAAAATAAAAAGCTAACACTGTGACTTCGACTACAGCGTCAGCTTAACTAGGTTCATTGACGATTTGCGCTCCCAGATCAATCCCGTTGACGGTTGATTGCTAATTGCACTGTTTGATGGAACTAGCTGAGAGACAGGCGAAGCGAAGGATCCGCATGGTGTGGTGGAGAACGCGTTAGTCCCCGAAAAGGGTAATAGCGCGTTCGTTGCCCACCGCAGACACGCGCGGTGCGAAGTTTTGCAAATATCCCAGCATCATTGTGGTTATATTGTTTTTGCCAACTTTTGCATTAAAATATAGTGTCGCTAATTTGCCAAATTCACTTCGTTACAGAATTTTCGATCCCCGATAGTGTTGGCTTGTTTGGTTTGGCTTTCTTGCCAACTTCTCGCAAGCAATGATATTTAGGAAACTCGTAATCAGCGCGCATTCAATTATAGTTAAGTTAGTTAAGCATTCAATTAGCGTAGTAGACCGGTGACGGCTTAATAACAATAAATTATGTGGTATAAGTATTCCAATCAATGGAATGTGACATGGTAAATTGGATGTGCTGTAGAAGCTAGTGTTGATGAAAAATTAACTATACCACTGGCCGACATAACAGTGTACACAATGTGCTATCCTACTTATCGAAGATCTCACGTGTTGCTAAGATACCTCGTGCTACTGAATGTAGTGGCTACATTTTTCTCGATCTTACTCTATCGTTCCGCGTCATCTTGTTGTATGGAAATATCTTTGATCCCAGGCCGGTGCATGCAACTCTTCAGAGGGAGATGAAGTATACGCAAGAGAACACAGGCAAAAACCCTTACTTGGAGACTTTAATGACACGTCTTTGTGGATTATCAACGATCGCCGAATAATCTCCGTCTCACCTGGAATTTGCTGTTTGGACCAGTTTTCCTTTTTCGCAGTCTGGAAAGACACGCTGCTTTTCGGATATTCTTATCTCAGGAAACCACCTCATTACCAGCATGTGTCAATGTTGTTGTAAGATTGGAAGCGTTTTCTCATACTAGCTTACTTGTGCCTAAACTTCCGAATGAAAAGTCGAAATTCCGTATATGTTGGGAAACAATGCTAGGATTAACCTCAGTTGTACATGGGATTTCTACACTCAGAAACACTTCCTTACCGCGATGATCCGATCAACTATTAAGGGACTATGATAGAACGAGAAAAAAAATATGCGTGAGGTCGTTGTCATCATTTGTAGGAAGGCTAATATTATGTATTACGAGAGCATTATATCATTATCGTTAATTAGGAAACTAATAAAGACTATAAATGGGAGCACATTGCTTATAGAGTGAACAAATCAGTAGAGCCAAGGGAAGCAA